TCCAGTATTTGTGAAAAAATAGAGTAGACATACCGTCTGGCCTTAGTGTTTGATTGGGCGTATTTGGTTTGAGGCTTCATGGATCTCCTCGGTTGTAAATCCTGCTGAGAGAAATTTATTCATCTCGTTTGTAACTCGAGGGTGTATTGCTTCTAGTATTTCATCAAAGTTAAATGCTCTTTGAGAACCTAAAATCTCCTTGAAATATTCCACCGCCAGTTCTTGCATTTCTGTTTCACCATCACACCATTCCCCATTTTTGTTCTCCAGTCCCTTAATAAGATTCGTCCTTCTCCTTTTAAAGGCTTGTGCGTGAAAGAATGCAGTGTTTTTGTCCTCTTCCTTAAGCTAATGTACTCTTGATTGTTGCATCCAGAAGGTTTCTTCCCTCTCCAAAAGAGCATTCATCCTGTCTTTCTCCTCTGTCTCTCTATGCAAAACCTCACCGTCCTCATTCCTCTGTCTGACTTCCAGCTACTCCTTGTTCAAAGTCAAAGCCTCTATTTCTTTGTGCATGCCACTAAATTTACTTGTGCCCCATTCAGCTAGCTTACTCAACACCCTTTCCAACTTCGATTCTTACTTCATACTTGAAATTAACTTAGTAAATAATATCTCAGGAGATTAGCGTACTTTTTACCAAAACTAAAAATTACAGGCGGTACTAAAGTAGCAGGTAAATATATTTTCTATCAATTTGAGGGATAAATATACTTTTCCCTTTACCTTATTCATCATGCTTTGGGAAGTAGATTCTTAAAATGACCTCGGTAAGCGAAGCAAGTGCCAGATCTAGCAGTAGTGCCGCCGATATTGGTCGAACATGATGAATAAATGATCATAGTATTTGTCAATTGTCACTTTCTCCTTAACTGCTATTAAAATAATCATTTCCTTTCTAATAATAAAATCCTAGAACAATGTAAGGTAGCAGCATTAAATATTTTATCCTTTCTTTTTTGTTAAAAAAGGTACATAAGTGAATTTAAATTATTTCGTATTTGAATCACATTACATTGGATATGAATTATATTAAATTTGAGTTATTTTAAATTTAAATTATTTGCGATTAATATTGTTTTAAATTTGGATCAAATTAGAATAAAATTTATAACTAAATTTTACATTTTTAGTCTCAAGTTCAACTTTGAATTCTAATCATTTTGACTAAAAACTTGAATATTTTTTAGTTCATATAGTTTTGGTTCAAATGATTTTTTTAATTAATATTTGTATTTTTATTGAATATTTTATTTTTTAATTAATTCAAATTTAGACCCATTTTGAGCTCACATTCGTTGTATGCATCTAGTTGCCAATTTTGCTTTTCTAATTTCCTCCCAAAAAATCCAATACCAAACGTTTGGTTGGAATTTTACATTTTTCCAAATTGATTGGTTCATACATATATGTCACACTTTTGGCATCAATACAACCGCGTACATTGGTCTTTAGGATGTGTTTAAAATACAAGATTATGAAAAGATAAAATAAGATGATATTATAAATATGATTAGATTAAATAATATCATCATATCTTATATTTGATGTATTTAAGGATTATGATAAAATAATTTATTTATTAGTCAAAATTATCCTCACTAAAAATTTATATAATTTAACTTATTGATATAATTTTTAAGGATATAATAGGACATGTAAGTTCAATTCTATAGATAAAAAATAATTCTCTTTATTTTGGAAAGACTGAATCATCCTAAACCAAGAGGATTCTTAATCTTTCTTGTAATTTTATCATTTCTTTAGAGACAAACCAAATATAATATAAAATGATTATCATCCTATCCTATCTACCATCTTATGCACCAAAAATCAACTTTGGGTGTGTTTGGTGCATAAGATTAGGATATGATAAGATAAGATAATATTATGATTAGTATTAGATCAAATAATGTTATACTATCTTATATTTTATGTCTGTAAGGATTAAGATAGGATAATTTATTTATTTATTGATCAAAATTATCCTTTTTTTTAAATTTATATAATTTAAATTATTGATATAATTTTTAAAAATATAATAGGATATGTAAGGTCAATTATATGGATTAAATATAAGAGAAGGACTACTTACACCCCCATTTCTTCTTTTCACACCCCACTACTATTAACACCATCCTTTTTTCTCTTCACACCCCAAACTAAAACACTAATTTCCTAAAAAACCAAATACCTCACAGCCCCATTTCTTTTTCTTCATGGAAACCTTAAACCTTTTAGGAATTTAGCCCCAAATCAAGCCCCAATCTTGATTTTGATGTTAGATAGCTTAGAATCATAAGTAAATCATTTTTTTTTTGTTTGTCTTTCCATTTGATTTTGTGTTTAGTTTTCAAAAATTTATGACTTTAAGTTTAGGGGTATTATTTGGGGTGATGATCAGAGCATTTTGGAAATTTATTTCTGGAATGCGTTGAAGATTTCCAAAAATAGATGTCCAAAAATTTCTTCAATATATCGAAAATTCATTTTTGGAATCCTTTTTTGGAAATCCAATTTTAAAAACCTTTGAGAATTTTCAGGAGTGTATTTTTAGAATTTCTCAATGGTTTTTGGACATTCATTTTTAGAATCTTTTAAAAACTTTCAGAAATGGATTTTCGATACATAATAACCTTTAGCTACCAATAAAGACCAAATAACTTTTTAGTAGACAAAATTTGACCTCATTATGTCATTAACAAATTGGAAAATTCGCTAATAGGCGCTTTACATTCAATAATGTTTGTAATATTTTGCAATTCTAATAGATGTGTAGTTGAGAGAAATTGTTAAGTATGAAAAGGTTCTCATGCAAATTGGCTACTGCACCATGTGCGATGGAGCGTGATTGCTTCATCGCATATGGTGCAGTAGCCACTTGGCGATTCTAATGCATGTTTATTAGAATTAATAAATGTTTCGAATGTTATTGAATGGATAGTGTTTGGTTGAAAGATTAGAGGTTTTTATTGCCGAAATTAACATCACATACATTAGAGAAGTCATTACAAACCTATTTGGAGATCACAATAAAAAAAACTAAAGTAAAAAATTATGTTTGAAAATGTATTTTCGGATAATTGTAATGCTTTTCTGAAATGCATATTTGGATAATTACAATACTTTTCAAAAATGAATTTTCGATATAGTTAAGAAGTTTTCAAAAATGTATTTCTGGTACATTGAAAAGTTTTCAAAAATTCATTTTTGGTGATTTACTAAGAAATGGTGTAAAGGACAAAAAGATAAATTAACTAAGGGGTATTTAAATAATTTTCTATTTGGCTAATTTTGTGGGGTGTATTAAGAGTTTTTGGGGTTGCAAATAGTCCTACTCAAAAATAATCCTTTCCACTTTGGGATGATTGAATCATCCTATACCAAAACAATAATTAATTCTTCTTGCAATCCTATATTTTTTTTAGGTACAAACCAAACATAGTATAAGATGATTATCATCCTATCCTATTAATAATTTTATGCATCAAACATGACCTTAGGATGTGTTTGGTTCACAAGATTATGATATGATAGGATAAGATGATATCATAAATAGGATTAAATTAAATAATATCATCCCATCTTATGTTTGATATATGCAAGAATTAGAATAAGATAATTTATTTATTGGTCAAAATTATCTTTCCTTAAAGTTTATACAATTTAAATAATTGATATAATTTTTAAGGATATAATGGGACATGTAAGTTCAATCCTATAGATTAAAAATAATCATCTTTACTTTGGTAGGATTGAATGATTTTATACCAAAAGGATGATTAATTCTCTTTGTAATCTTATTCATCTTTTTAGATACAAATTAAACATAATATAAAGTGATTATCATTTTATCTTATCTATCGTCCTATTTACCAAATATGATCTTAATGCATTGTTTTTCCTACCTGAGGTAACTATTAATAATTTCATACTTTTTCTTTTTAAAATTTCTATGGAATAGCTTTCACACTTTTATATATATATATATATATATATATATAATGTTAAAACCTCGACCTTTTAGCTACTCAAATCATCTTTAGACAAAACCTCTTCTAAACGCCTCCCCAAAAAAAGTGGCAATTAGAAATTTATTAGAATTAACTTGATCAACTTGGATGGATTTTGATAATTAGGTAATTTCGAGTTTTGCTTATATTTTGGATTCATTTTATGTTAATTTCAGTTATTAAATTTTCAAATTATTTGAATAGAATAAATTTGAGTTTTAACTCATAAACATTTTAGTTTAATAGGTTCATTATACTGTTATTAAATTTATTATATATTAACAAGATTTTTCCCAACATATTAACAACATTCAATATTTTAATAATTAAAAATTGATAATACTAATATTAATATATGTTTCAAATCTTGAGATGATGGGAGAATGAGGTTCATGAGATACGAGGCAATTATTTTCTTGTTTGTTAAGTTTTGCAAAATTATCTCATATTAGGGTATATTTATGTATACTAAAAATATAATTACAATTCTGGCCAAAAAAAAATTACAATAAAAAATTAATTAATTAATTAATAGACGCATATCAATTCTTTAATCATGTTTGTGAAGTTTAAATTTTAACAAACAATTAATAATAGTAATATCAATCAAGTGCAAGTTAGATTTATTTACATTGTATTTTTCTAAATGAAATTACATGTATTACTAAAAACTAAAATATTTATAATCAAATAGGTCAATAATCATTTCATCTGTTGATAGAATTATTGACTCATAATTTCAACGTTCAAAAATCAATTTCCAATAATATCAAATAAAAAATCATAATAAAAGAGGAAATGGCCATGAATATTGTTTGAGAAAGATAGGTCCTAGTAGCCGATTTTGATTTTCTGTCTTGTATAAGCAAGGTATCCATCCAAGTGAAGCAAAAGAGGATGGTAAAAGGAGGCAGTAACACGTAGAATTAGAGTTCTAACAGTCTGCAAGCTGATCAGCTCTTAACTTCACCCTGTCTAACTCCAGCTTCATGGTTGCATCACCTCAAGTATACTACAGGTAATGGATTTTGCAAACTTAGAAACAAGAAATTTCAAATGCCCACCTTGGAGAATGCTGTCAAACTTTGAGATTCGAATAGTTCTGCATTAGAAGTTGGGCAGATTTGATTATAAAACTGTGATCAATAAAATGCATTTACGTTCAATGAATTAAGTCGTCCCTTTTGGGCAAAAGTATATACATCACAAATGCAAACTTTTTTTTTGGTCTTTTTCCTACAAATAAAACATTAAAAATAAATAAATTTTGTGAAAGAATACCTCAAGGTTAATATGATGCACCCAATACGAAGCAGAAGACAAGTTAAAGTTTTAGGCATCGCTATATATCTACCTATTCTCTTTAGGTCTCAGCTCGATTCCTTCGATAATGAGGCCCCGCTTAGGTTGATTATCATGAACTTCCCGTAGGTTACATTCCACCATCCTATCATCTCCACATTCATTGAAGAATTCACCCATTTCGATCTCCATCCAGCCATCTTCCCTCTCTCTAGCTAGGTGGGGCGCATTTGGACGAGGGTCTAAGATTACAGTACGCACTTCCCCTGAACCAGTTCCTTCAATTGCGACTCGCAACTCTACAGGTGTATGTCTAAATCCATATCTGTCCCTGACAATCTTGAACACAAGGTAGGCTGCATAGTTCGTTCTGGAAGATAAAATTTTCAGCCTGGCCTTTCCCTTCACATCGAGCATCCCCACATTCTTAAGCTTAGCAACCTCAGAGAACCTGTCAAAGTGTTGGATCAGAAACTGATGCCAATGATATTGACAATAAGATAATAAAAATTTTCAAGATATTTGTCAGAATAGTGGACAAAGATTTGGTCCAAATGACATTGTCTTCTTTATTCTAATGGAAAATATGTTATATTAAAAACCTGAATGTTAGCTCAGTTAGATCATAGAATCATCTTTAAGAGGTGTCATCTAGTAGCTCTAAGATTTAAATCTCAATACTTGCAATCTTTACCCTATCCAATCTACGGCCTCCTTTGTATAAAAAATATATATATGTTATATTAAGAACTTGTGAACATCCTGAACAATGCCTTCTTAATAAAATAAAGTGGAGTAGAGAACAAACCTAGACTCTGGGAGAGATATCCAACTCCAATAATCAGGTTTATCAGCCCATTTAATTGAAAGTGCTCTTGCCCCTAGAATACAGCATTTTTTTCCATTCTGTTTCTCTAGTTGAAAGCTCTATTTCAACACCACCAACATTAATTTTTCAGACAAGCGCATAAAATGAAGCAAAAGAACACACTAGTTTCGATCAGGGGATAAATTGTATGTTTTCCTGTGTATATAACTCGCCTTAAATTTAAATTGAAAAATTGATGAAAATTGAACATCCCCGAGAATGATAATCTTGATAGCAATTTGATTGGCTAGAAATTAGGAGTGATCAACAATTAGTACCCCTGCACCTCAAATACCCCTTTCCTTATACTTCCTCATATGTTCCAAAAACAATAAAAAAGATAATGCAAAACTAAAAGTAATTAAGAGAAGTTCCTAGCAAAATTGGTGAATTGAGTTGGGCTCACCATAGCACCATTATCAATGAGAATGGAATGATAACAGAGACTGAAATAAAGATCCTTCTTCTTTGCCAATGAAAGCAATGATGGTGATGATGATTTGGAAATGACTTCCTCATAATCAACAGGCAGAAACGTCTCCCACACAGCATCAGAGTCTGCAACTGACCTGAAAGCTTGAGAAACAAGGGCCATTCGACAGGCGTCTTGAGGCGACATAAACGATATGATGAGAGACATGCAGTCGTCCAGTAACACCTTTGTAATATCCATTTGTAGATTCTTTCTATATTTGGAGAGCAGATTAAATGAGGCACGGAAGAACGATGATTAATTTCAACTCTTCTATATATCTTTTCTTTTCTGCACTCCTACGTTTTGTTAGTTTGTTTTCTACTTAAGACAATTTGGCACGTTAGACACGAAGCAATTTTCTATTAATAAATCCAATGATGTAGCTGTTTTGCTTGTGTTTTTTTCACCTTAGTACATCATCATGCATGTTATTTTGGATTAAATATCTTGAGTTCTCTAGTCATAAAAGTAACACTTTTTGTTTTAAAATTTGAATAAACAAAATTTGAATTCGTGACTCTAGATCAGTTTTAATCACTATATTATTTTGTTTCCAAAATTGATGACCTTTTGTCTATTTTTTGGGCTAAATTGGTTTTTTTTTTTTTAAATAAATGTTTTAACTAAGTATTGATTGTTATAAAATTTTCATTTTTTCCCTTCTTTTGAAATTCATTCTCTTAATTAATTGAATTTGAGAAAGAAAACCCAAGATGAATTTTTTTACTAAATAATTCATGGTTATTTATTGATTTAACTTCGGATGTATGAAAGCTTATTCTCAATTTTTAACACTTGAACATTTTTCTCAAAGATAAGTGCATGCATTTTTCGTTCAAAGAACAAGTTGGAGCTCCTTCTCCAAACTAAAATATATATTAAATTTTTTAAAAAGCTTTTTTAAATAGTATTCATATAAAATGTTATATCAATTTTTGCAAAAGTCATTTTGTTAAAAAAAAAATAAAGCATACTGATATAATGTTACAATTTTAGATTATTAATTTAAATATCTCATATTTCAAAACAAAGAAGTAAGAGTTATAAGATTATATAATTCAAAACAATAAAAAATTTCTTGAAAGTGATATATATATATATATATGTTTCAAACATATATTTCATCGTAATATAAATAAATAATGTTATGTTGCAATAAATTAGTAAGTTACATTTTACAGCAAAAGTAAATACAAAATAGTTGCTAATGCATGCTTTTTAAAAACAACTATTTGTAGCACCTATTAACAATTTACACAATATTTTTTCAACAAAAATAGTTTTCCACTGCAATAGGTGTTAACTATTTTTCAACAAAAATGTATATAAAAATGACTAATAATACTTTTGTAGCACAAATATGTTCAACATAACATAAAAATTTGTTGTTAGATATAAAAGAAAACCCAACATTTTTATCAAATTATTTTGGACCTTATTAATTTTCAACGATATAATAGTAATAATAATCCATTTTCAAAGTCAAAACTACTTCAGAAGTTCGGAATAAACAAGTACGTAGTAGAATGCCAAAAACGAAGTCATCTCTTGTTTGTCAAGACGTCACCCAAATATATTTATTTATTTTATTAATATTATTGCTAAAAGTAAGTTGACCTGTTAATCCTTACTTAAATTGGTTAAATTAGTATATAGTAGTTGTAACTTGTACGTATCCATTTACAGATTTCGTACATAATGCAATAACCAGATTTTGCATGTAAATGACGTATAGAGATTATATATGCATGTAACAAATTATTGACTTTTACGTATGCAAAGAAAAAAAAATGTTTGACGAATTTGAGCTTTTCGCTAATTATAGTTTGTTTGATAAACACTTAAATGACTTTTATGATAAATAATTTCGTAAACAATAATTTACAAATTTCAGTTAGAGATAAATTAAGTTGAGATTAATATCTGAGTTCGTTTGATATTGGCTGTAAAATTTTTGTCAAACTCTGGCTTATTGTAATATCAAGAAGGAATGGTACTAAGAGTCCAACATCCAATTGCATTTACCGTGAATAAAGTTTTACACTTAACATGGAAAAGATGCAAACGTGCGTATAGATTGAATGTGAATAAACAAGTATAAAAATTCTTTCACGCCCTGAATTAAAGGTGAAGTCGAGTCTTTTGCGCGAATCAAATAATATAGCTAAGAGCGTTTGCTTGGGGTGCAAAATTTCTTACAATGAATAATCCAGGCGTTTCGAGGCGACGTAAACGATGTGATGAGACACATGCAGTCGTCCGGTAACTATTAGATTTAGTTTTGAAGCTTATCGAGTCATTAATATAATTTAATTAATATTAAAAAAGATTTGGATATGAATGAGAGTTTAATCCCTCTTAATCGTGGTCCGTAGAAGTGATGCCATTGTCTTGTACTTACCGATGTCATCTTGTGGACTCCAATCAGTAGCTTGCACAGTAAAAGAGAGAGAATTACTCTATGCCTCTAAAAACTATCAAGTTATGAAATTTCAATGACCTAACCTCGTGTGTGTGTGTGTAGAGAGAGAGAGAGAAAGAGAGAGAAAGTAGAAATCTCTCCTAATATGTTAGTCAAAATTAACTTATTCCTTTGTGATCTAAATATATAATTAAATTAGGATCACACTTAACGATAATCATACTAACTATTTAGATTTATTACAACATGATATCCACAATAATTACTTAATAATTAAAATTAATTAATATAATTCAGTATGTAATGATTTTGTTAGCCTACCAATATGAGATAAATACAACAATTTCTTACTTGGATAACATAAGTTATTAAACCTGAATCTGGATTAAAAAAATGGCCACAAATTGAAAATGTCAATATGAATACATATCCAAATCATCATATAACGGAATGAGCATTTATAAGCCCAAAATATATTGTACCAATAAGATACCAATGTGTGGACTTTCATGCTCTCTACAAGCCTGAAAGTATTCATAAACCTCACAATGCACTGCACAACATGATACATGTATGTAGATTTATGAATACTTAAACAATAGTAATAGCAACAAGTATTTTTGAGTCCCTAGAATGCACCGTACTAACAGGATACGTGTACACGAACTCATAAATAATTTAGAAGCAATAGTATGATAGAGTGGAATGGAAATGATATGAAAATAAAATCAATATCCATTTCTATTAAGTCATTCGCATCTATATAGAATGATTTGTCATTTCAAAAGAAGCACATGAAACTAATCCTAAATGTCTCAGCCAACAGAATGCCATACTCAACAAAATGCACACAAACAGAATATTCGTATGACAAATAGGAATTCATCCATCACAGTTGCAATTGATTTTATTACACAGAGCTCTCACTAACTCAATACAACAAAAGGCTCTACAAACCCTGAATATATGTTTGTCGTTAAGACACTTTAGTAGCCAAAATTAACTAGTGGTTACACCAAAATGAGCTTTATAAATTATGTACTCTACAATTTACTTCAACATTGGATTTCATTTTTTTCTCTCTAATATACTAAATGATGATATCTATATATTTGGAGTGTGGAGAATTCCTAATATTTGAAAGAAAGCCACTAGTGTAGATTTACCACAAAACATCCCTAGTGATTTCGAAATGGAAAACTTAGAATCCAGTCTTGAGATGAGATTCTACAATCAATAATCAAACATATAGCTTCACCACATGCTACATGCTTCACTTCTATTATCGAGGATGTAGTAAGTGTTCATTTTCAAACTTTTTAAAAAATAGCTCCTCTAACAAATAGTACCAAAATTGGCTTTTAAAAGCATATAGAATCAGGATCAAATATCTAACTAGATTCAAAATGTCAGATCATTGATGTCTAAATACAAAATTGATCAAGTGTCTCCAAAGTACACCTACAACATACACAATATCAGAATGTGTGTAAACTTGATCATAGATCATACTACCTACAGTTGAAGCATACCAAATATTCAACACAAGCTCTTTCATTTATCAACACGAGGACTTTGAGATTTAACAGTATGTTGTCTTTTCACAATAGGTGCTTTACTAGGAAAACAACAATGCACATCAAACCTACTCAACATATCTTTATGTAGGTTTTAAGACCAACCAAATATGCCTCTATATCTATAAAAAAGAATCTTAATTCCTAAACCAGAATGAAAGCCTCATTTAGATTTTTCATCCAGAGCAACATGACAACATCTAATGTTTCAAATAATAAGTCAATTTCTACGACTGTTAATGTGTATAATCAAAATGTAGAGTACTCAAAGTACACTATTCCCAAACATATGCACTAATCACCCATGTTTTCTTAATTGAAATTAGGAAAATCGTATAATTTTTTTTGTTTTTTTTTTTTTGCAAAGTTCTTTTCATTTTATGATTTTGAAAATTAATTATGTGGGACTGTTATTCAAACAAATGCATACAAATAAAATTTCATAAAAAAATTAAAAGCATTCATTTCTTCCAAAAAAAAGTTTAACAAGATTAATTTAAATAACTCCTAATGACACCACACACATGTCATACACAAAAGGTTAAAGGTTAAAAAAAAACCTATCCTATCTTGATCTTTCAACACTTGAAATGTACTTCCACATTTAACTGTTTATATGTTGCAATTGGACAGAGTCGACTTCTATTGTTCCATCAGTTGTAGAGTCAAAATACCACTTTTGATAAAATCCTCAACCTTTTTCTTTAGCTATCTCTATTTTTTAGTTGAATGGCTAATTGCCTCATATGATAATCACACTTACCATTAGGATCATAACTCCTGTCGATGGATTAGGTGTTATTTTAGAGGCATAAGAGTGAGGTACCAGCTTTCTATTAGCAAGGCAAAAGGTGAAAAATAGGAATTGAAAGTTTCTTTGGTCATTTCTTTTTCTTTCTTAGTTTTTTATTGGTCGGGTGGTAAGCTCAAGTGTAGGGACAAGATTATGAATGGTCCTTTGAAGATGAGAATTTGCTTAAAAACCTAAATGCTGGCTTGGTTGACAAAGATATGGGTTTTAAGAGATATTACCTATGACAGGGAAGTGGGGTAGATAAAAAGGATAAGGATTACATAGGATGAAGTTCTTGGGTAGATGCCTTTTAAGTGTAACTGCTTGTGCCTCCCTTTCATTTTTTTTATGTACTTTCCCTTTTAACATAACTGCATCTTTCAACTTAATCCTGCCATTCTTGATG